ATACTACTCCTGAGTTTTATTGTACACGATGTTTCAACAATTTACATTGTTATCATCAGTTTATATAGTAGACTACTCCTGAGTTTTATTGTACATAATGTTTCAACAATTTACATTGTTATCATCAGTTTATATAGTATACTACTCCTGAGTTTTATTGTACATAATGTTTCAACAATTTACATTGTCATCATCAGTTTATATAGTATACTACTCCTGAGTTTTATTGAACATAATGTTTCAACAATTTACATTGTTATCATCAGTTTATATAGTATACTACTCCTGAGTTTTATTGTACATAATGTTTCAACAATTTACATTGTCATCATCAGTTTATATAGTATACTTCTACAAGGTTAAACTGCACACAACGGCAATATTTATGATATAGTACTCCCGGGTATCTTATTTTAACAATTTACCCAAGAACAGGATTTATGAAATACTAGACCAAGGTCCGACTAGTATGTCTTTCAATATGGTTTTATGAAATTAAAAAACTATTAACTTTTAATAAACATGTGTTGTTGTTATTTGTAGATTGTTGTAAATGAGAATGGTATCCACTCGTTAATTATAAAGTTTGTATCGAGACGAGATGCCGGGACCTATAATTGTCTAGCTCTGAATAAAGCTGGTGAAGATAGATTTACTATTACTCTTAACGTCACACGTAAGTTATCTAAGAATTAGCTAGGGCACGCCTTATCCACGTCATGTGCTAGGACAGGCTTTATCTAAGTCTTGTGCTAGGACAGGCTTTATCTAAGTCTTATTCTATGATTTATTCAAGTCTCTTGCTATAACATACTTAGTTTACATACTACTCTAGGATTTATTCAGTTTGAGCTCCATTAGAATAATTACTATACAAGGTTTTTTTTTATCTCAAACTGAATTTTCCTGATTTTCCTTCAAACATTTAGAAAAAAAATCTCAACTTGCTATCTATAATTTGGATGAGATTGAGCAAAAATAGTCCCCTATGCCAAATATCAATATCACAACTGGAAATTTGGGATGCTGAAGCAACCCAGAAATTAATAATGTGGCTTGGTAGCAAATAAATACATCAGGAACCAATTCACAAAGTTGTTTGGAAATAGCTTCATCCTAGTGGAGAATCTCAATTTCTTTAACAGTTTAGTTTTTCTTCATTGAGTAAATCCATTCATAGCCAAATCACAAAGTTGGTTGGAACAACTGGAACAACAATAGCTTCTCTGGAGCATCCTTAACCAATAAATGATGAAGTTGTTTGTTTTTTTTTACAGCGAAAGAAGAGAAACAACCCCCCAGATTTATTGAAAGGGTCCAGAATTTCACTGTAAAAGAGGGTAACCCTGTAACTCTGTCCTGTCATGCTGTTGGCATGCCAACTCCTTTGATGTCATGGCAGAAAGACGGACACCACGTCACTCCAACACATGACATGAGGTATGTAGTTTTTATCTAAATCAGCCCCTAAACAACGAAACAAAACAGTTTGAAGTGTTTCATAGCATTTTGTTGTGACAAAATAACAGGTAACTGAAGGGTTGGCAAAACATTTTGTGAAAAGAGACAACTGAATGTAAGAAAGGTTATATCTTTACTTTACATTTACGTAGGATCTAGTACAAAGTGATCTGATACAAAGTGATCTAATACAAAGTGGTCTAATACAAAGTGGTCTAATACAAAGTGATCTAATACAAAGTGATCTAATACAAAGTGGTCTAATACAAAGTGGTCTAATACAAAGTGATCTAATACAAAGTGATCTTATACAAAGTTATCTAATACAAAGTGATCTAATACAAAGTGGTCTAATACAAAGTGATCTAATACAAAGTGATCTAATACAAAGTGGTCTAATACAAAGTGGTCTAATACAAAGTGATCTAATACAAAGTGATCTAATACAAAGTGATCTAATACAAAGTGATCTAATACAAAGTTTGAGGTTTTGTTACCAATCAGTTATTGTAATCAGAGCTGTGTAAATATTAAAACTAAAGTGTGTGATGTGAGTTTTATGTGAAGACTCTACCAAAGGTGACAGTGTCCGGAGAAAACGTAAATGGACAATGTATGGCCACGAACAATATTCACAAATATATGGTAGTTATTATTTATGTAACAAAATTCTAATCATATGGTTCACAATTATATTACAGAGTGAATACAGAGGGTGGAAGATCAGCTCTGTATATTGAAGATACTAAACTATCAGATGCTGCTTGGTACCAGTGTACAGCTGCTAATACTTCTGGTAGTGCTACAACTAGAGCTAAACTTGTTGTTCAAGGTATGTTTTGGATATTTAAGTCATCATCAGGACAGCTGGTTTCAAGGGGAAGTGTGATGTGCTTCTCAAGTGCTCAGAGACACCACGCTTCTTCTTCAACTGAGCTGCCCTTTCGTATCTAAAATACTTCTGCAGAACCAGTATCTTTATATTGTGTTCCTGTGAACTAGT